CTGCTGTCTTTACTGAGGTCAGTGGAAGTTTTGTCTGAGTAAAAACAGCGGGGTTTGGCCCAAATACCTGCATTAAGGAGTTAGAATCGTATGGTCCATTCTGTATCAGGCTGCTATTCCCAGAGGCAGATCAGCTCATGCTAACAAGGATTTACAAATGGGATGGCAGATTCTTCAGAGCACTGAGTGCCTGGTTAGATGGGATCCTGCCTCTTTAAGGGATAGCAGAGGAAGACACCAGGGGAAACAGTCTTCCTTTTTCCGATGAGTAGGCATTAAAGCTCTCGCTCATAAATCGGCTGTGTCCAATAGCTTGGAAAAATCCAACTGATCAACATAACATTCCAACCACGTGGATCTCTCATGAGAAGCACATGGACTAAAACCACTTTCCTGGTTTACTTTTCACTTTGCCATGCTACTGAGTTTCATCTGAATGCTCCATTGAACCAAGCTACATTTATAATTAAACAAAAGTATTAGGGTTGTCTAATGCTTCCCTCTGGCTTAAATAAAAAAGAGTGGTTGGATAAGGCACTGCTGAAGGACGTGTGCTGGACCACGCCTTAAGCAGATTCCCCCCAAAACACAATTTAAAATGAAACTACAGCCGCAGTTGCTGTTAGCTAGATTGCCCCACCGAGGGCCACACCTCCCTCCTCATCTGTATTCTTTATTTTTAAAAAAAAAAATAAATAAATAAAAATAACTAAATAATAAAGAATTAGCCCCCAGTTAAGGAAGGATGCATTCTGTGCTTCAGTAAGCTGCGGTTTGGCTGGTTCCATCACTAATACTAAAGAAGGATTCTCAGACTAGATAACGTTTTCAGATGTAAAAACAACGAGGAGTCCTTGTGGCACCCTAAGAGACTAAAGATGTGTCACTGTTAAAAGCTAAATCCATTTCCAGGTGCTTTTCAGTTTCCCTCCCCTCTTTGGCTGAGGGTCAATGACGAGTGTGTTTAAGTAAATACAAGCTCCTTCTTTCACTGTAATACCTTTTTTCTCCTGCCGTTAGGTCATAGTGATGCTGAGAGTTCTGATGCCACAGTAACACACTGTAATCGCAGTGGTTCTCAAACTGTTGCACTGGTGACCCTTTCAGACAGCAAGCCTCTGAGTGCGACCCCCCTTATAAATTAAAAACACTTTTTTGTATATTTAACACCATTATAAATGCTGGAGGCAAAGTAGGGTTCGGGGGTGGAGGCTGACAGCTCGTGACCCCCCATGTAATAACCTTGTGACCCCGAGGGGTCCTGAACCCCAGTTTGAGAACCCCTGCTGTAATGCTATAGTAATTGCAACTACCTAACAGATGGGGGGAAGGATAGCTCAGTGGTTTGAGCATTGGCCTGCTAAATCCAAGGTTGTGAGTTCAATCCTTGAAGAAGCCATTTAAGGATCTAGGGTAAAAATCTGTCTGGGGATTAGTCCTGCTTTGAGCGGGGGGTTGGACTAGATGACTTCCTGAGGTCCCTTCCAACCCTGATATTCTATGATGGAATAGCTGATCTACAAGGGGGCACAACTGTATTCAGACTGAAACCTTGAACAATAGCAATTGTTTTAATACACAAGTGTACTGAAAAATAACACCCTTACTCTAGTTTGTCACATTGTGGAATTCTCCATTTAAGGAAAAATCCAGTTGTTTGTAAAGACACGTTTCATTGTGATCAAGGTGCGGTCAGCACTGCTTTTAACTTTCACAAAACCCAAACTCAGTTGCTTGCACTTCCCCACATTATACCCACATGTTAATGCCAATGAGAGTTACCACATATATCAGGGGAAAATGGATTGCTACACTGGATCATGGGGGAAAAGCTAGTTTCTGGATAAAATGTGAAGGTTAAAAGCAGCACGGCCTTGTTTGAGCAACAACTGCAGGGTCAGGCTGTGGCGCAGGCAGGAGGTACAATGACACTACATATAGACTAGGGGTAGGCAACCTATGGCACGTGTGCCGAAGGCGGCACGCGAGCTGATTTTCAGTGGCACTCACACTGCCTGGGTCCTGGCCACCAGTCCGGGGGGCTCTGCATTTTAATTTAATTTTAAATGAAGCTTCTTAAACATTTTAAAAACCTTATTTACTTTACATACAACAATAGTTTAGTTATTTATTATAGACTTATAGAAAGAGACCTTCTAATAACGTTAAAATGTATTACTGGCACGCAAAACCTTAAATTAGAGTGAATAAATGAAGACTCGGCACACCACTTCTGAAAGGTTGCCGACCTCTGATATAGACCCACGTTCAGGGACATTCGGATCCAGGTTTATGGTTCGGGCCCATCTCTCAGAAACACTGACAGAAAAGACACTTTCTAGACTCCTCAGTGACTCTTCAGTGCATCTGCCAAAGTTTAAATATTTCAAAGAAGTAAGAATAGTGGGGAAAACATCCCCCCTCTATTTTTCTTTAAAACTTTTGACTTTGTATTTTTCTGCTCCAGAGTATTTTTTACATCATGGAAGAACATATTCCAGTAAAAGACAGAATGGTTTTTATTAAAGTTTTACTTTAAAATGACTGAGCATTTGGGGGCCAGGGCAGTGTAATGCAATTTAATTCCCACTTCTAGGGTAGCACCTGCTCCTTAGGGTTCTGCTGTCTTGCTGTAAAGCTCACCTGGTCTTGTGTTTCCTTGTCAGTATTTCAGTACGCACAAAGCACATTCAGCCACTGATCATTTGCATAGCCCAATAGACACAGGCTGATATCTTGCCTACCTCCTCAAAATAAAGGGAATGCTTTTGGGCAGGAAGGCAAACCTCTTTGTAGGTGTGGCACTTCGGATCCGTGCCAGCCTCCACAGAGGTGTGCTCTGTACCACTGAGCACAGGCAGGCTCCCTGAATGCTGCCTCTCATGCAGCAAAACTGCATCCAGGATAAAGCTGGTTGAAGATTTCCCTTTTTCTAATCTGTTTATCAACAGAAAATTGGTTTTTCAACAAAATTAAAATTTTCACCAGAAGTGCACTTTCTGCAGAAAATATTGAGCTTTTGTCTATACCTTTCTGGCCAAAATTGGCATTTTTCAGCCATTTGAGGAAGGTGTGTGTGTGTGGGGCGGGGGGGATTGGGGGGGGGGGAGTCAACATTTTCCGCAGAAGGCAGAAACACCCCATTTTCCAAACAGCTCTAATCCATGACACTTGGTGCCTGCAGACTGGGATGTGTGATTTGCCCCCACGTCAATAAATGCACAGGTAAACCCTGTCATTCTCACTAGCAAAACTGAGCAAACATTCATCACACAGTCACAAATGTGTTTTGCTCTGATGAAGTAGCAAGAACTGCAAACACTTCAGCTATCTTGAGGTAGGAGAAAATGTTGTTTCCATCAGCTAAGCTGCCCTCTTCTAGCGGTACAGTGAGAATCAGGTAGTCATCGCTTTCAACCTTCCTATGGGCCCAAATGTGTGACAATAATACAAAATGAGGGATGCATGAAACATACGACAGAAGCTTGAAAGGACGTCAGAGTCATTTCTTTGACATAAACAACATTTTTTCTAACCCCAGTTTGGTAATTCAGCATTTTTTGGATGTCAATAATTTACAGTAACATAGTGTGATATCAGCAGGTATGAGGAGGAGGAGGAATGTGAATTTGGATCCAGCATGAAGGAAAATCCTTCATAAAGTTCCTGATTCTGAGGTCCTTGCTCACAAGAGTAGTCCCGGTAAAGCCAGGGGGATCTCTGGCATAAGTAAAGACTTCAAGACTGAACCCAATGGGATAACTGAAGGGTGCTGCACTTTCTTGATTTGAACTGCCTGTGCACATCTTGAAATAAGGATTTTAAGCAAACTAATAGAATTAAATACATTATAAAACATACACTTATCTGATCCTGAGATTGTCCTCATAACAAACACCAAAGGAGATAAGCTTCCTGAATATGTCTTGACATTGCTGAAGTGTATTAAGTGGCTGTTTTACATAGGCAGAGTTGCTTGCCTAATAATGCTCCTTCCCTCATTATTACCTGAGTGCCCGACTAAGACTGTTTCCTAATTACCTCATTAATGATGCTAGGATGAGGCTAACAAAACACTCGGGTGGGGTCGATCACCGTTATCAGGAATTTCATTTGCATTTCTTCTTTTGCAGTTCAGACAAAAACAGTCTTGATATTTTGCCAACCTTTCCAAGAGTTGCAGAAACAGGCTCATGCACAGCTTCCTTTTTTTATTTTTTTGGCCAGCAAAGAATTGTGTGTCAGCAGATTCCTGTCAGAGGAGCTGCCGTGTTGTGCGGAAGAAAGTCCTCACACCAGGGAGAAAACATCAGGAGCAATTGGACGGAAAAGGTGATGATGTGAACCGCAACAGAAAGAAGAAATTCAATATGATGAACGTCAGTCGGGGTGCTGACTACCACGCATTCCAGTTCCATCAGTGCAAAGACCTATTTATAGTCTCTAACAGTGTCACTCAAAGTCAGACATTATATCTGGGGGGGAAATATTCTCCAAAATTCTGTTTGCTTAAGCACTATATATATATATATTAAAATGTTCTGTTTTTTATTATTTCAGTATTTTAGCCCTTGGTCGAATAGTCACCAACACCTGTCTGATACCAGAAGCTATAAGCAGCCTTAGCACCTGCAGTATTTGTAGAATATCAAAAAACAGCCTTAGCAACAAGGAGTTACCTAATACAGGGAGAAGGCGGGGTTAAATAGATAAATGCAACATGTAGTGGCATTTGTTACCATTAAATGTGTGGCTCCCGCAATCAGGCCATAAAACTGTACCATGTAACTTGCTTGCAAGGGGTGGCAAAGAAGATTAACGTGTTACTTTAATAATCCTATAAACCACTCAGTCAACATAGTATTTCCAGCTGAACTTGAAGGTTTTTCCTTAAAAATGTCATTCCTCTAGAGACCACCAGGATCTTACACTCTGTCTGCCTTTGAACTCTGCTGTTACAGCTGTTTGGTTAACAATGTTGTTCCAGTGCAAAAAACCAAACCCCAAACCTTCCTCCTTTAAACTTTAGATTGCCTCACATCTGTCCATTCCTGTTTAGTGTTCTGTAGGGCTTGAGTCTTCTGTTCATCTACCTGGACATAGTCTACTCTCTGCTCTTCCGAGAGAAAAGGTTTCTGTAGGACAGACGAAGAAACAATTGTTTTATATTAGAGAGAACATGGATGCTAGTAAAACTGGTTTTGTTTTCTATTCCTCCGTTTCTTTTTTTCCTGGTCATTTCATTTCACCTTGAAGTTACAGTGACATCAGCTGACAAGAGCATTGCTTTGCAGTCCGCTTTAGATAGAATTATCCATCTGTCACCTTGTCACTCTGCCCAGCATAGTGAGATATGGAAACACGCTGTATGGGCTAACTCCATCCCACAGCAAGGATAATTATTCTCTTGCCTTTAGTAAGATTCTGCTACACTGATGACCTGCATGAATTTTAACCATAGGAGGGTTTAAATTAAAGGAGGCCTAGAAACTTCAAGTCAATCCCTTCAAAGATATCTGAGCAAAACCTGTAAAACAAAAACTCAGCAATCTATCCAGATAGTCACTACAATTTACAGTAAATTTATTTGCTTTCATTGTACTCCTTCTTTGTCCACCATTGTTTATTTAAATCAGGGGTCTCAAACATGCGGCCCGCGGGCCGGGCTATTTCCTGTGTCCCGCCAAGCGGCCCGCACCCCCCGCGACCTACCTCCAGGCCAGGGGTGGGCAAACTACAGCCCATGGGCCGCATCCGGCTCGTGGGATTGCCCCCCTCGAGCCCTGCGCCGCTCCCTGAAGCGGCTGGCATCACGTCCCTGCGGCCGGGGAGTGGGGAAGCAGAGGGCTCCGTGTGTTGCCCTGGCTTCCAGGCACTGCCCGCCCCCCCAGGGAACGGGGAACCGCGGCCAATGGGAGCTTCGGGGGAGGTATCTGGAGGAGCGGCAAGCAGCGCGTGGAGCCCTGTGTCCTTCCCCAGGAGCCGCAGGGACATGGTTCCAGCTGCTTCGCGGAGTGGAGCGGCGTGGGGCCGGGGCCAGGGTCCTGCCGCTGCCACCCCTTGGCCAGAGCCCAAAGCCCTCCTGCACCCCGCCCCCCAACTCCCTGCCCTGAGCCCCCTGCCTGCACCTCAACCCCCTGCTGCACCCCAACTCCTTGCCCTGAGCCCCCTGCCTGAACCCCAACCACCTGCCGCATCCCACACCCCTCCTGCACCCCAACTCCCTGTCCTGAGCCCCCTGCCTGAACCCAACCCCCTGCTGCACCCCAACCTCCTGCCCTGAGCCCCCTGCTGCATCCCACACCCCTCCTGCACCCCAACCCCCTGCCCTGACCCCCTGCTGCACCCCACACCCCAACTCCCTGCCCTGAGTCCTCTGCCGCACCCTGCACCCCTCCTGCACTCCCTGCCCTGAGTCCCCTGCCACACCCTGCACCTGAACTCCCTGCCCAGGGCTGGGGGCAGTGAGAGGTGTGTGTGTGTCAGTGATGCGGCCCTTGGGCCAATGAACTACTCCTCATGTGGCCCTCGTGGTCATTTGAGTTTGAGACCCCTGATTTAAATTGTAAGTTCTTTGGAGCAGCAGAGATCTTATCTTTTGACTGTGTCTAAAGAATCTAAGACACTTCTGCAATGACATAACTAATATTAATAAATATTTTTGCCGTGTTACAAGATCTCCTATAATGTCTTCCTGTGACCCTGCTGTTAGTCATACTCACGTCACAGAATGTTACTGCAGATGGGATTTGTGGGAAAATTCGCAGGAAAGTTTTGTGGGAAACTGTGTCTCTTTTGAATGAAAAAAGAGCTTGCAGAATTCTTGCAAGCACCTACAAATTTGCCCACATGTTCTTATTACTGTATATTCCAGTGGAGCCATTATGCCTAATGTGATTCCATTCACATTAAGGTATAATACTGGCACCACTGTAATAACTTTAATTGTCGTTTTATCACGTTACCAGTATGTTCATGTTGAGCCTGTTATGAATGCAATCAGCTGGAAGAGCACAACGGATTTCATTGTATTGAGGCTACCCAGAAGTGAGAATCTCTGTCTGTTTGCCTCCATCAGCGAGAGACACCAGGATGTACAAAAAAGGGTGGTATTTGCAGAAATGATTCTTACCTTCTGTACAGGGGATGGGGAAGCGGAATTAAAATCCAATGCTAAGTAATCAAGGTTGGACTTCCTTGACCATGGGAAAGCACCACTGCATGGAGATGTTGCCTGGCTGTGCTCCTGTTGTGGAATGAGAGAAACTTTTAATGAGTAATTCAAAACCCTTAAATCATGATCCTAAAAGGAAAAAGACCAGACTGTTTAGTATTATTCCTAATCCAGCAGTAAGCAAAGAAGGAGAGCTCTGGCCCACATCATTTGTATAGTATGTCAAGGGATGCATTCATCAACTAATTGCAAGATCCTAGCAATGTCTAATTACGTGACTGTACAAAGAAATTCAGGAACTCTGATTTGAGGTAATTACAGTAATATGGGCAAAATGGGGCGGGGGGTGGTTTTCATTCAGGTTTAGCAAAACATCAGTAAGGATTTTGTTTTGCAAAACGAAAACCTGGGATGGCTTACATCTGGATCCCATTTCATCTAAGCCATTGACGTTCTGGGGGTATGGATAAATGGTTCTGGTTCTGATTCATGTCTGTCAATTGCATATCAAAATGGAGAGTCACAGACGATGACAAACATATTAAAGGTTTTAGCTTTTTGAACAATACAATTGGAGTGTGATTATGACTAGAGCTGAGCTGAGTAGCTATTGTGTAGATTCAAATCAGCTTCAGGTTTAGTCTGGAGCGAGGAGGTAAGATTTCTGTTTGGCGCAGCCAGCTGTGTAAACTCTTTGTGCAATCATTCCCAAACTGGAAGTGGAAAGCTGGCCCCTTCGGGCTTTGGATTTGGAACCAAGTCTGCCACAGCTGGCTCAGATCTAGGAATTCTAGATCAATTCCCACCTGAAATTCGAAGGGGATTAGGTTCTGGCCTATTTCTAGACATGGCCAAAGAATTAATGAAGAAAAGGAAGCCACAATGTTTTTGTTTTATGTCATGGGAAGTAGGGTTAATGCAACCAAGACTTTAATAGGAGTTCTCTTTCTATACAACATTGTGTGTGTTCCTTTAGGAAGTGCACTGAAGATTGTCTGTCATTTCCTAGGAGATTCTGCAGGGGGCCCTTGTAAAAGGTGAAAGGACTTAGTTTTCCTTTGCCTTTAATGAGTTCTCATGTAAATATGCCTGATCCCAGTGATCTCTTGGAACTGCTCAGCAACGTTTGTGGGGTGAACAGCTGAGATCTGCATAGCAGAAAAAAGGCTTCCCTTATCTTTCTGTAAATCAGACCCAGTGTCTTTAGTTTAAAACCATTTGATTTTTTTTTTTTTAAAGAGGGCAAAGGACAAACCTGCTGAACATTTTTCTTAGAAAATGAGCTTCAGAATTCTCAGGGCATGTGACAGAGCAGAACAGAGCACAGGATAGCTGTGTGAAAATGAAGATTACCATTTGAATGTAACTTTCTTCCTCTTCTCCGGAAACTGAATTGGCAAATATTCTTGCTGAATTAATACCGTCTCTATCTGGAGAGATAAAGCTCGTTCGATTGCTAGGAAGAAAAACACAGGAGAGGTTAAGGAAGCAGCTAACAGATGCTCTGAAAAGAAGCCAACGTCTGACATGGCCCATATGGCGAATAAACTCACCCTAATTCTGAAGCCTTAACGGAGAGGCCATCCAAAAATGTTTTTTAGCTATAAAGCATGTTACAGTTACATCCATAACATCTCTGGTGGATTTTCTGGGATTTATCTTGACACTATAAAAGTTTGCCAGCTATGACAGAAAGCAGGAGATATCAGAGCAATTCTCCAGCAAGGAACGCAAATGGAGGCAGACATTCATCTGTGTAATATGCGCTGATGGAGAAGTTACTTTGTTGTATGGGTACCACCATTTCTGAGATTGAAATGAATTAATCAGCTACTGTAGCTGCCTGCAAAGCAACTTGGTTGGCTCTGAATGCAGTACAAACACATGTTATCTGTGCTTTGGAGCTGTCTGCAACTCAGTTCTTTTAAAAGAAAAATTTAGCTGCTAATCTAACTGTCTGAAGCAGTCTGTATAATGTAATTCAAACCTACTGCAAATCATCACTAAATTACTGCAGTTTGGCCAATATGGCTAGTTAACCAGAGATTAGCTGTGTACTTCACACAGCATGAACAATTTAATCCAAACAGTTATCGCTTTGGTTTTCACTTTATTTGTTCTGAGCACATTTGGTCATTTAAACTCGTTTGGCTTGATTAATATAAAAAAACTTGATATTTAGCTTACAATGAATGAACTCCTCAATGCTCCTCTTCCCTGCAGACCTTGTCTAGCAGTTGAACGTGTCAGAGTTCATTATCCATGGCACGCTAGCAGGGATGTTCATGAGGCAGCACTGAACTTGTGGGATTGCCGAATATGCCAAGCACACAGCACCTCAGGGGTTAGCCAGTGTTTAACTGCTAACCTGGAAGCCTGGGGAAGATTCTGATTGCTGCCACCAGATTACCTGGCCTTGACAGACTGTGTCAGCTTCTCCCAAGAGAGCAAGCCCTTCCTCTGAGTACCTTCCATGTTAGCTAAAAAGGCAGTGTCTAGCATGCCACTGTTAAAGTGCCAGGCACTAAAAGGATCCACACAGGAAGGCTTGGGAGAATTCTCACCCAGGAATTTTCAAGGGGCAACTGGCAAACCCCTTCCAACTTTCCCCATCAGCTCTGAGAACTTACTGCCACCACTGCCTGTGCCAGCATGCTTCATCTCCCATCATTGCTTCGATCCTACCAGCTAAGAATTCCTGGCTGTGAGTCCCTTTGGGGCCCACTGACACTGTGGCTTTGTCATCATTTGGGGAGAGTGACCCGAGGCATTCCCTCCACCCCACAACTGGTTTTCAGTGACACTAAATGAGGAGCAGGAATCGAGTCTCCATTTCGGTATGGCAGCACAGAACGTTAGCCCCAGGTCATCAGGCCAGCCAGGCTTTTAAATTAGGTTTGTTTTCCCTTTGCCATCTTAATCTTCAAGAACAAAGATGTCTGCTCTCCTCTGGAAAAATATTAGAAGGCGTGAGGGCTAACATTATGGCAGCTGTACCAGAGAACAGATTAGCTCCAGCCTTCTAAAAAGTTACATAAGGAGGTTTCACAAGAGACAATTTAGGCTTTGAGGTACGGCTAATTTGCAAGAGATCCAAACCACAGAATTTCTCACGGCACAGTCTGAAGGGAGTGCACTGTGTCTGTCTTTAAAAGGAGCCCTTTTTTTATGGCAGCAAAAGCCTGTAAAATGCTGGAAGGAGTCCCATGGAATTTGCATAGCATGTTTGTTTATAGACTTTGCCAACAAACTATTTCTTGCGGAATGTGATAAGTTATTTATAACTCCATTTCACAATGCTCATGCTTAAGAGGTTTCAGTGTCAGGTTTCTCATCCACTTACTAAGGCACAGTCCACATCCTGGTCAAGGTAGCGTGTTCCCGGATTGTGGAGAGATTTCTCAGATCCAGCGGAGGGGGTCGTGCTGCAAATGGGTACAACAGGAATTTTAAAAGGAGGATTTATTAATGGCTCTAATAACATAAATAAATGGGAGACGCCTCCCCCAACTCTGGGGGTGCCAGAAGCCAGGTGGTGGCCCCCCACGTGGCCTTGGTGAAAAAACTGCAGAGAGGAACCAGCCAGAAACTCCAGCTGGTCGGGGCAGAAGCAGCCAAAGCAGGAAACTTCAGATGCTCAGAGAACTTTCCACATTTCTGACTGGACCTACTCTGCCTTGTGCTGAATGGCTGTTTGCTCCAACTCCCTCAGTCTCTTCACCTCAGCTTCACTCCAGACCTGCCCCTTTTATCCCTTCTGCCCTGTCCTGTTCCCCTCATCTCCCTTCCTTTCCTATTTAGCTGGTTGCTTCCTAACTAAACCCTCCATCCCACCCTCCCAAAAGTCCTGGAACTAACATGCCGTTTGCTGCCATCACATTGTTCACTTTGCTTGTGTGCTCTACCCCTTCACCGCCTTGCATCTGTGCTGTGTGTTTAGACCGTAAGCTCTTCTACTCCTGTGTTTGTACAGTGCTTCGCATAAAATGACACCCTATTCTTGGTTGGCACCTAGGCACTATCGTAACAAACAAGGTTATACAGCCTAGCATTTGTGCGAGATTATATTCAGGAAATCTTGTGGAATAAATGGACCGTTTAAATCTGCCCTGGAGACTAAAGTCCTCTGCGGCTCCTAAAACAAGCAGCTAAACATGATGGGCAGCAGGAGAGCAGACTTTCCAGAATGACCGGGACAGGGCCGGCTCCAAGGTTTTTGCCGCCCCAAGCAGCCCCCCTCCCCCCGCCAAAAAAAAAAAAAAAGCCAAGATCGCGATCTGCAGCACTTCGGCGGGAGGTCCTTCGCTCCGAGCGGGAGTGAGGGACCCACTGTCGAATTGCCGCCGAAGAGCCGGACTTGCCGCCCCTCTCCGGTGTGGCCGCCCCAAGCACCTGCTTGGTAAGCTGGTGCCTGGAGCCGGCCCTGGACCAGGAACACGCCTGAACCCTGGTCAGCAAGTGATGTCTCCGCAGGGGAGGGGCTACTTCAGTGTCCAGGTCCAGCCAGCCCTTGGCCTGTCTTCTGAGACAGTTGCTGCCCATAGGGGTGCCAACTGTGGTGGTGCTTTCTGTGTTGTGAACATCTCTCCACAGGGAAATGGATTGAGGCCTTCAACTCATTTCTTCTAGGTCACTGAGCAAGCCCAAGGCAGTAACAAATTTCTATCAATAGCTGCCTGGGCTGCATTTGAACCAGCAACCAGAAGTGAAAGTCATAGCTTTACCTTTCCCCTGAGCCATCCTCTCCCATTTCACAAGGTTTCTCCACATTTTCTACATGGTAACAACATCTAACTCTTGTTCTATGATAATGCCAAGTATTTTGTGCCACTCAGGGAGAGATGGAAGAGTTCCACATTGGAAGTTAGTTTATCCACGGGTGCTAACTCAGGAAGGAGTATAAAACCCTTCAGTCCACTCCAGAACATCGCACAAATCCTGTGGTGTTCCAACAAGCAGGCAGAACATTCGAGTGTGTGCATATTAAGCAGCTTAATGTAGTTGGGTGAACGAGAAATATCACATACACCTCTACCCCGATATAATGCGACCCGATAGAACACGAATTCGGATATAATGCGGTAAAGCAGCACTTCTGGGGGGTGGGGCTGCACGCTCCGGTGGATCAGCGCATCAGTGTGTCTGGCTCCGACACGCTGCTCTGAGTGGCGTGTTAAGGGTGCCGGGCTGGGGCCAAAGGGTTGGATAAGGGGCAGAGGGTCTTGGGGGGTGGTCAGGGGACAGGGAGAAGGGGGGGTTGGATGGTTTGGAGGTTCTGGGGGCAGGGTATGGGGAATGGGGGCATTGGATAGGGCATGGGAGTCCTGGGGGTGAATAGGCATGGGGGGGGGGTCTCTGGAGAGGGCAGTCAGGGGACAAGGAGCAGGGGGGCTTATATGGGGGTGGGGTCTTGGGAGGGGTGGTTAAGGGTAGGGAGTCTCTGGAGGGGGTATTCGGGGGACAAGGAGCGGGGGGGGGTTGGATGGGTCGCAGGTTCTGAGGGGTCAGTCAGGGGACGGGAAGTAGGTGGGGGTCGGATAGGGGGCAGGGCCAGGCTGTTTGAGGAGGCACAGCATACTGCATACACCATGTTAGTTCTAACAAAAATGATTTGCTGACTATTAATAAGAGAAATACTCGAGGCCAAAGCAAGTTTGATATAACGCGCTTTCACCTATAACGTGGTAAGATTTTTTGGCTCCCGAGGACCGCGTTATATCGGGGGTAGAGGTGTATTTTGGATACCTGTGGCACAGGCTGAGGAAGGCTGTGGGAATAGAAATGAATTTTTCCTCCTCTCTTGTCTACTTAATGGGCCAAATCCTGCTCATCCTCTCATGAAAGCAGGCCCATAAGGATACTTGTGTGAGTAAGGCAAGTAGGATTTGACCCAATACGTAAACCACTTGTAGTCTAAGGAGCTTAGGCCCCCAAACTCCCCTCTGCTTCTGACAGAGGATGTGAGCTTGCATTTGCTGATCCCAGGTTGAGGGTGTGTGGAAATGCCACTTTCACGGTATGCTCCTCCCTCCCCCTCACCCAGTGGAAGCCCCTCTGTATGGGTTCCAGCTCCATTTGTGGGACAAGAGAGCGAGCCTGTAGGTCTCCACCTGCCTCCCCAGCCCCCATGGCAAAGGAGTGTAACCTGCAGTGCTGTGAAATTCTCTCCTCCCCAACCAAGGGTCGTTCTAGGGGCAGCTTAGTTCCTCCAGGAGCCCCCAGGGAGCTAGAAGGTCCATGGGGCTGTGCAGAGACAGAGGGCTTCTGCGAAGATGGATCTTATCTCCGGGTGGATCCTCCAAATGTGTATGAATCACAGAGCATTTGGAAGTGGCATGAGGCTTGGGGAAAAAATTCTCCCTTTCACCAAACCAGTGGAAGGAAAATACTCCTGTCCACTTCCCCAACCCCCGGGGAACTGTGGTCGGGATCCGGGACTGGGAGTGGGGCTACGGTTGGGGCCAGGTCCAGGGCTGCGGTTGGGGCTGGTGCTGGGGCTGGAGCTGTGTTTGGGCCAGGATCCAGGGGCTGAGGCCAGGTCCAGGAGCAGAGCAGCGGCCAACCCGGTAGCCAGGAGCCGAGGCCGCAGTTGGGGGTGGGGCTGGAGCAGAGCTGGGGACAGAGTGAGTCCTGCCGTGCCCCCCCCACCAACGGAGGGGGCACACTCCACAGTTTGGGGGCCACTAGATTAAAGCATGTCATTCAGCATGCCCCAAATTTAACACAGCCTGTACATAGCAGGTTATTGAACTAGTATCTTTCTCCTAGGATCTTCAGCATCCCAGCAGAGTGGATACTACCTTGTTTTTTTTAAATTCCATGGCACTTTTAATGAGGTAAGAGGTTTGCCCAAGTGATCTTGGCCAAAAAAGTTTTCCCCTCAAGGCTATTGGCTACCATCTTCCACCCTAGAGCTGGCTGCATCTATAGTATGTGAAGTGCTTTGTGATGCCCTGGGATGCCAGGTGCCATAGACATGGAAGTTAGTGGTCAGTGATAGCAATGTACCTTAGCTTCGAATTGCTTACTAGGTTGGTCTAATGCCTTACATTTCCTACGGGGCTTGAGATCTCGATTCACTGGAGGTGGTTCCAGGTCTGTGGGAAGTTCTGGCAGTGGGCTGGAGAGTTTGTCATTGGTGACTACAGGAAAGGTAAAGGTCGCTGAGCTTGGGCTCATGGGAGTGTAGCCATCGGGTGAGCAATCTGGTCCTGGGATGGGTGGAGAGGTGGTGGGGTGCATGGGTACATAGCTGTCCTCCGTATTGTCCGATGCTGAAGAGTAGAGCGGGGTGAATCGACACGGCTTCCGAAAGGAGAAGGAAAAGAAAGAGCATTCCAGTCAGCCGAACAACTCTAATCATCAAGCAAGGCTAATCCAGACATTGATACAAATTAGCCTGAACTAAACCCCACGCTTGAATACCCCCATCTGAACTTTTGGGGTGGCTTATCTCTGGAATGGCAGGAGCCAGAACTACCAAGACAGACATCCATGCCAACTTTGGAAAAGTTCAGATCTGAACTTGGCAGCCGAGGCCCATGATTGCTGGAAACATGGGCACAAATGAATTGGTGGCATAAGCCGGTTCAAATCTACTGACTTCCAAGGAAGAGCGCTTGCCTACACCAGCAGCAAATCTGAGCCACAAAATGAAAGGAGGCTTATAACGTAAGGAGCACTTTCACATGTCAATCATCTGGTGAGTTATTCCTTTGCAAAGGTGAAAGCTCTGAGTGCAGAGACACATGCACAGGGATTACATTGGGTAGCTGAGGATCAACCCTGGGGAGTCATGTCACGCAGGTTAATGCTGGCTGCGTATCAAGAGGCATTGACTACAAATCGGGTAGGATCCATTTCAAATGTGAGAAAAACATGGCGTCTGTCAGAGACAACGGAGCCTGCATCTGGCCTAGCAGCCTAACGGCAGCATAGGGCCTTCCCATTTGGGAGAATCCAGTTCTGGCTCTCAGGCTCCCTGGACTGGTGAGGCAGAGACAGCATGCTCAGCCCTGGGGGGCAGGGAACACCTGGTGGGAACGTCACTGCCTAATGTGTTTTCACATCAACATTGACCAGCATCACCTAATTCTCTGCAGTCAAAAACTGGGTCACCACTTTATAGGGGATTTTGAGGGTCGGGACAGTTAACAGGCCCCCAAAAGGAGGTAACCCGCATGACTCCAAAGTGATACAGAAACTTGCAACACATGGGCTCCATTCTCGGTTGTGACCTATCCCCTTAAGATGGAAATGGACCCCAGGAAACACCCCTTAGTGCAAGGGCCTCTGTGAAGAGCTGACCTACATGTTCTGCTCTGCTCTGTCTCCAGGCCTGCAGCATAGGGGATGTCTGATGGGAGAGAAGAGGTATTCTAGGAGTGTCAGGAGGGGGCCTGCCCAGCGTGTTAAGAGGGACCCCGTAAGGGGCTATGAAAAACCCTAGTACCAGGGCACCTGTGAGGCTTCTCTAACTTACAGCAGGGGCTGGGCAAGCCGCCACACACTCCAGAATATAGGAGGTGCAAATGTGATATAAAGTCACCTGTGCCCTCCTCTTCCATTCCTGTGCTGAGCACAGGAGAGGAGTAACAGAGCATCAGGTCACAAGACAACTAATGTGCTTTAGTCTGTTTTGTGCCAGTGTTTAAATATATGCAAATAGAGTACTTACCAAATTCAAACTAAGCCTCTTATCTCGACTTCTGAGAGAGCTTCCTTCCATGTTGGCTGAAAAAAAATACCCCCAATGATTAACAATGTAATAAGCAAAAGGGGAATGGAAGCTGAAGGATATAATTCTGGAGCAAGGCATATGGCATTATAATAATTATGACTTTCTAAAGCTCATGAAATATCTTGTTAGTCTTCCTGAACTGGGAAAACCTGATGAAATACGAGATCAAAAATAACTCTCTATAATTCTATGAGTGGGCTACTTATGATGCTATATTAGTTTTAAGCACCTTGAAAACAAGAAGCAGTCAGCACACACCTATAAACCTATTCTGAGTTGTCTCTAATCACATCTAGATAAAGAGTAAGATCCTTGTCTATGGGAAAAGAAGTCAGGAGATATGAGATTTAATTCCTGTTCTGTCAGCAACTTGTTGTATAACCTTTGGACTTCCCTATATCTTAACTTCCCCATCTGTAAAATGGGGACAATTATACCACAAAGGGGTGCTGGGAAGCTTCATTCATTATTGCTTGTAAAGTGCTCTGAGATCCTCAGATCTAAGGCACTAGGGAAGTGCAAATTATTTATACATGGAATACATGCTAGTATGCACTGTGAGAGGAGAAGTATGTGTATGTGTTAATGATGAACCATCATAACACACAAGTGGTTTAGAATAAATCCACCTCCCCAACAAGTGAAAAGGTCTCTGTCACAATGCCTGCTAGTGCAAATTTGGCTTATGATACTTATAGTGTTTTCTTTTTGGTTCTTAATATGTTTTCTTTTCAAAACAGAGGTAAAAGAGGTTGTAAAATGTATTCAGTGTTGATCAGCTGCTGGACAGAACTCGTGTGATTGTTTCCATTGCATGGTGGACAGAGGTAGTGTACCTGTGAAGCAGTAGTGGGACTGGGTGGCAGATTCTGTTAGCTTGGTAAGATTTTGCTCTAAAGCTATGGCTGTATATTGCCATTTGCTTTTGGGGAGTTTGTTTACGGAAGAAAAAAAGTAACTCGGAGAGTGGGAGGGAAAATGGCTGCCTCTTTCCACTCAAACCCTTATTTTTCTCCCTGTGCTTAAACTGTCCGTCCTTTTCCCTTTGTAGAAAACATCTATAAATGGAGAAATGGGCCATTTCCCTACTGAGATCCTGTAGAGCTTTTCTCTGGAATACCATAAAAAAATCCCATGAGGGTAAATAGTATATAATGGCGTATGATACCATCGGCCTGATGTAGAGTTCTATCCTGTAGAGGGGTGGTTTTTTTGTAGTGATAACAGTGTAATAGACAATATAAAGATGACAAGATTGAACAAAACTGTATCATTAGTACCCAAAATGAACAGCTTTCTAGACAGCTGTTATTAGCTACTTGTACTTTCTCAGTTACACACAGATTTTGTACTTGTATGACTGAGTTGATCAGGGGAGCTATTTTTTACCAAAATAGTTATACTGATACAAGCTCTAGTGTGCATTCCATTTTACCACTATAAAAGTGCCTTAGACCAGCATAGATTAGTCCCCTTCCCATACGGGAATAAGCTAGACCGGTATAAAGCATCTTTATACTTGAACAACTGAGTTCACACTAGGGGGTTGTACTACTTTACCTACACTGGGATAATTAAAGCAGTACAACTTCTATGTGTAGATAAAGCCTACGAACAGACAACTCACCAGGGGTGTGCTCACCTCACCATCTCAACTGGTGAGAAGCAGTTGGAGCATTTGTATGTCTTTTGCATGTCTCAATTTTGATTCACACTTATATTTTAAAGTCAGAAATAGTATTTTTATACCTTATTTTTATACCCCAAAAGTTGGGGTATAAATATAAGAAGCAATGCTTATTAATTCATTGCTGCCCCCTGTCAGGCTGAGATAACCTTGCAGCACATTCACAGAATATAACATTTGGGCACTTAATCCTCTGAAATGCACTTCAGTGTAAATTAGAACGGAGAAATAGTAACTATCTCCAGCCAGATTGTGTATGTGTGTGAGACACACACACACCCCCATAAGTGCCTAGAACATTTCATAGGCAGCTTTCAATCATAACTGATTATTAAGAATACTATTTCCAGCTATGGGTGTTCCTTCTAAAAGCTTCCAAGAATTGCTTGAACACTGATAAACAGGCTGGGCAAAACTCTCCATGCTTTGGGTTTAATAAGAAGAGCTAAACACCCTGGGTCTGCACCATGCACGAGTGACCGTTTAAACTGCAGAATAAAGGAAGCCAATCAATAATGCTGAAAATAAATACCTGTAGCTGCCTCCACTTAGAAAGTTATGGCTCCTGTACAATACATTTGATAGTTTCCAACTAGACATTTTATCTGCCCATTCTATTCTAAGGCTTTGCAGAATACAACTGTATTTGTGTCACACTGTACCATGGCTCATACTTCCTTTCTTGTTTTTTTTCCCCTTTTCTTTTTAAACAATGTCTCAAGAATGGGTGAAATTATCCTGCTCAGCTCCAGTGCAGCATAGCATCCCGCTTTATACCCAGTTTTCCAGCGAGGCTTTATTGAGATGCAGGGACATCAGCTGATTCGCTTAATATCACACCGGGCGCCACTGGTTCATCTGGGATTATGTCCCATCACCAGCTTCTTCCTGTCTTCCAGTCCTTTGCTCTCTACATGCTAAGAAACATCCTCCTTCCATGGAGTGTACTACCTGCAGCAGCAGAAGTATTGTACTTAAAGGGGCACTTAACTCGAGTAAGCCTGAATTTTGACTCATCTAAGGATGAAAAAAATTCCAAGAGCCACGTAAGTGGAAGTTTGAGCTTGGAATTGATTGACATGTAGGCCTTGTGTGTGTGTGTGTGTGTGTGTGTGTGTGTGTGAGTGAGAGAGAGAGAGAGAGAAATTAACAAACCAAATGCACAAACTGTCACATTCGGGGAGATTACAGCTGCCTGTTGACTGGTACTTACACTGTTAATTCCACATACAGGAGCAGGTGCTGTAGGTAACTGAGGGATACCACTTCTGCCTCCATGTTACAATGATACTTGGCATTTATAAATCACCTGTCAGTAACTGATTGAGCTGCACAGTGGCCCTAGAAGCTGGGGATACTAAGGCACAGAAGGGCCCGAGTTTCAAAAGTTCTTAGCTCCTATTTAGGTACCTGAATGCTGTGGCGAGATTTTCAAAAGTTCTTAGCACCCAGGTCTCAAGGGGAGATGAAAACCTGGCCACTTCATTCAGGGCTCACCCAGGGTGACTCAGGAGGTCACAGAACCAGAAGGAGAACACATAAGTCTTGCCTCCCACTCCTTCATTCTCATTGGGCAACACAATCTCTAACCACTGCCCCTCGGTTCCCACTTCATGCAGAGCAGGAGCCTGTGCACACTCACAAAGGCGTTAGCTTGGCTTTAGACACAAGAACCTCTTGAGATGCCTAGGAGGGGGAGACCCTGTGTCCTAGTGCACTCTCTCCCTCCACGCAATTGCTTGAGAAAATAAAGTATCTGACTTTGTTGCACCCAACCAAAAGAGTGAGAACTGTGTTTTTCTCCAACAGATGTAATCACACTGTCATGGCACAACGGCTCAGGAGGGGAAGGGAAGAGTTACCTTTCCAGTGCCGCACGTTATCCAAACTGGACAAGGAGATTCTTCTCGGCACCAAGGCAATCTGAGTCCTGCAGATCCCGCCATGTCCATTCTGAAGAGCCCCGTTGGATAGCTCCTCCCCGCTCCAGTCTGAGAAATGGGTTGGTTTGGGTGGCCGGGGTGGTGGCGTGTTAGACAAAATATCCAGTTCGGTTACGCCATAGGGCAACGCGGTTTGGCTTTTATCAATCTGAAAGGTTGGTGTTAAAGGAGGCCCTAAGAGTGGAGAGGAGGAGGAGACATCACTGAATGGCCCGCTAACGTCTATGCTTCTGGGTATAATCCCATGATTCACTGGCTGGCCCCCATCCTGGTGCACGATGCCGTTGCTGGATGACTGTACGTGAAGGGAGGGTTGAGACTGCAAGGCATCAACAAAAACATCATCTGATGAGGTCTGCTCCAGGGATCTGTCAGAATTCGACCAGCTGTCACATCTGGATGGAAGACAAAGACCAAATTTTGTATCTTCGTTCTACCACTGTTGCAAGTGAACTAGTATGTACTCCAATGAGTTCACACTATATGAGAGGTATACATACATGCCCATTGGTCCACAATAACACAACCAACCCAAGGCTTCAACTGCTTCATACAATTTTCTTTTCTGAGTTTTTAAATTCAAAATCCAGTCTCACCAGATTTAAATCAGTTCTTGAGACCAGCCTCACACTTGGGCTTTTCTATCCCACTTTTGAAACTGCGCATTGATCATTTAATTCTATTCACCCATTGTAAGCACCTGCCATGGGAGTGCTGTGTGTGTTTGTCTTTACTCATTATTGCAGGAGCCGTTTTCCACAAAGGTGGATCCATCAAGTGGCAGATTCAGCCCCATTGTCTCTTTACAAAGGATGTGGTGCAGTGCAGCTGTGCAGAGAGGGGGCACTGGACATAAGGGGGCCATGCAGCGGTCTCACGCGCTGTGTGGTGTAGAAACCTGCTCTGATTGAACTCAGTGTGGGGCAGCATGTTGAGAAACCAGGGTGGAACCACAAGATCCACTGCTGTGAGGAACCTCCCTTCCACCTTTATCAGGATAGGGGAGATTGCATGAGGCACTTTGTATAGTCTAGTCCAGACATCATCCTGGCACTTGAGCTGGGGTTCTGGGCTTTGGATGTATGCCTAAAGTCTTAAGTGATGTTATGTACCTGCTCATCCAGGGGATAATGTGCTCTTTGGGGGTACAGCTCAGAGTAACCCATGGCAGTCACTTTTCCTTCCTGTTTACTAAATCCTTGTTCACCAGCCAGTTAACAGTCTATAGTAGCAGCCATGATGCCAACTAGGGTCTGATCTTGCTCCCACTGAAGTCAATGGGAGTTTTGACCTTTCTGTCAAAGTGACTGGTAGTATACATGAACAGGGAAGGCGATTCTTGGGTCACGTTGCTACTGGAGTTTCAACCTCAACATCGTAGCCAAAGAGGATCTACTCACCTAGACTATGGATAAGTGGCCTCCACAACATTATTTCAATAACTCAAGAAGCTCTTCTTGTTGCCAAACCATGGGGGCTTTCAGGACAGCCAGGGAAGGATTGAGAATATGGTCCTCAGCTAAGGCCTGTGTCACTTTTCATTGCGTAGTGAATGCTGATGGCAGAATGATGCTACCTGCCCAAAAGCGCACTATGGGCTACATCCTGCCCTTTCCACCATGGGTACGGAGAGCCCCACCCCCCCAGAGAAGAGAGGAGTTTCCACTTGGAAGATATAGGGGGCAGGATTAGGGGACTCAGCACAGTGCTAGTTCTGCAGGGGCTCCTTGCACCCCAGCACACGGAGAGGTTTGGGAGCAGGCTGTGGGCAGCCAGTCGATCCCCAGATACAGGAGTCCGCCAGGCTTTCAGCATGTGAAGGGGTAACATGCCAGATACCACCACTACTGCTGCCACTCGGAGGCCTGGGGTAGGAGGCTTTCTCCTCCACGGCCCCAAGGAGAAGCACAGCCGTTAGTGCTTCCTGCAGGACTGGCGATTGTGTATCTATATTTGACATATCTATACATAGGAATGATGTCACCCACCACTGAAGAGCAACCACTTCCAGGGAGACATGCAGCTACTGTTTAACACCACATAGCAACAGTGCCCAGCAGTTAGGACTGTGTCAATCACAGAGGCAAGTTAGGGGGAAGGAATGTTCTTACCCCACCTATAGTGTGGCCTGGACACTGAGGTTAACAGCCTAACTCCGGAAAAGTGCCTGGGCCCTTTAAAAGCCACTGACCGTCAGAACCCCAGTTTTACATCCTGTCTGAGAGATGGCACCTCTAGGAGCACCTGGCCCTCTAGCTGCACCCCCCAGGCCTTGCTTCAGTACTGGCTCCTGGGGGCACAGCAAACCCTCAGTACCATTTCCTGAAGCCCAGCGCTCCGTAATGCCATGCTGGGGTATTGGAACCAGAAGGGGCAGAATGAGCTGAGTTTTTCTTGGTTCTTTAAGATTTCATTCAACCATTTAGAGGGGGGGACAAAGGGACTAAGGACGAGCGGATAGGGGGACTGTCAATTTGCTGGGAATACAAACCCTGGAGCATATTTCTGGATATGCAGCAGCCCCTGCCTGCTGCTCTGAGGATGTAAAAGGGAATTTTCTTGGTGCAAGAGGGTACCCGGGGGGGTGCAGAGCCAGTGCTAAAGCCCTACTCCTCACCCTCTTGCAGCTCACAAGGGGGATGTTGGGAGGAAAGGGTCATGGCTGGTCTCCAGCTAGTCTCACCTGCAGAAAGGCCCCTATAGAGCTGTTGTAGCCCAGTGTAAGTTAAATTAGCCTCAGGGCTGCTCTAACCTATGCTTGGGGCTGCAGAGGGCCATGGCAACATGAATACGGAAGGCACAAAAGAGGAATAAAGCCCCTTTGCCCCCATCTCTGCTTCCTGTGTCCAGCGCAGGAATGGTGGATGTGGCTCATTGGCAGAGAGACATATCAACTGTAAAATGGCTTTAGAGCACGACATGCGGTTTACCTGATATGATTGAACTTGCCCGTCTCGCAGTTTGATAGGAAGAGGTAATCGGGGAGGAAGACTGACTCCGACTCACTCCTGGTCTCTTCGGAAGCAGAGGCGTCTGTGGTGGCACTGCCTACAGAGGAGGAGGGGTCTGTGATCCGTGAGGTATGGGTGGAGACGGCTGGCGAGGGCTGGAGGGACGAGGTGGTGTGAGACAGGCTCTCCACAGAATCTGCAATGGAATAGGATTGCACCTTGTGATGGATTTGCACAGCCATCCTCCCCTGAGAACGCTGCACACCCACCCATTCCTTAAGAGCATTGAGCAGTCACAGATCACACCAGGTGTTGATACTGACTGGGAACGCTGCCTCCCTACCCCATAAACAGTGTCTGGGGAAGGAGGCCAAGACATTAACTCATGCAACGTTCTAAGAAGTGCAGTATTTACTCAGTAAGAGACATTAGCCAAAACGCTCTTCCCACAACCATTCTGCGCGGACATTCACTAGAAAGAGTGAACAGGACTAGTGAGCATGGGATTCCAGGCCAGGACCCAGACCCCAACATCTGCTCTGAAAGGCAGCCCTAAAATACAAGCAAGTTTGTGTCCGTAACAAACTGAATTCAGCAGGTGCCGGTAGCATTTGGAAATCCCCAAGGAAAATGCCGTGCCTCTGCCTCTTGGCAGCCTCACTGTCATTACCACAGTGGTTCCTGAGGTTGGACCCAGTGCTCCCTGCACAGACCGTATAGAGAAGGAGAGCGCTCACATTCTAACTATACTGCGCATTACACGTAAGTCACCCCACCCTAACAAGAGATCCTAACAGCCATTTCACAGCATCCATGTGAATGCAGATCCTTCCTAGGCCAGCCCTGAAGATCCTTTTTGTTCCGGGGAAGCATCATCTTAAACTAGAGATTAGCCTAAAACAAAACCTCAGATCTAAAATACCCCTGAAACCCTGGGGAGATTTGGATCCAGACTTTCTGGCTGCCCTTCACTCTGAACGGCCTGAACCAGAACCCTAGATCAAAACTTTGCTGAACTACAGAACACTGGGGATCCATCCAAATCTTGTGGCTTGGAGCCATCTCTCCTTGAAATCCTTGAAAACTCTCTTTCTAACAGACTTGGTTGCTGCCCTCCTCTCTCTGGTCGGGAAGAAAACAAATCACTTCCTCTGAGGAAAGTACCTAGCTGGAGCAGTCGGTTTTATCAAGTATGGTTTTGGACTTCTCTAGCACAAATAAAGAACCATGAGACCCACTTGAAATTAATGGAGACAAGAGAGGGTTTTCTTCCCACTCTCCAAACCTCTGAGGATGAAACTGATCTTTACTTTCTGCTTGCAGAATATCCAGATTTGTTGCACTGCAGAATTTGTTTGCGGTCTTCTTGTGTCTCTTAACGTTGGACAAAGCCTACATGAGCCAGGGATGTGTTGCAATATGATCCACACAGTTAGGGGCTCAGCAACTTAGTCTATTTACACAGCCGACACATGCTCTTTTTTCCATGAGCCTCAAGGTATTTGGGAAGTGGGGATTACCAGCACAAAACCTGACACTTGCATGTGGCAGTCAGCTGAACGTACAATGTGCCCAATGCTCTTTAAAATTTTGTATGGAAAAAATCCTAGGCTCCAAAGGGTTAAAGCCAAGTCTAAATCACTTAGAAATGATGGCTAGAGGTAAATAAAAAAAGTCATTTCCTACAATTCCCCCAAGGCCCTGACGGGGTGGTATTTACAGTGCAGCATGCATAGGAAAATGAAAACCTGGCACCACCAGTATGATCAGGGCCGGCGCTTCCACTAGGCAACCCTAGCGGTCACTTAGGGCAGCAGGATTTGGGGGGGTGGCATTTTGCTGTCCTCGGTGGCAATTCGGCGGCGGGGGTCCTTCCGCTCCGCGTCTTCAGGGCGCTTCGGCGGCGGGTCCTTCACTCGCTCCGGGACCCGCCGCTGAAGTGCCCCGAAGACGCGGAGCGGAAGGACCCCCACTGCCAAGTGCTCTGAGGAGGAGCGCTGCCGCCTAGGCGGCAAAAACCCTGGCGCCGCTCCTGAGTATGATGATGACTTCTCTTTTGATTGGGTGCTGTGACTTTTTCAGTCTGCCCACGTGATGTGCTTGTGGGCTCCCTGACTGCTCCTCTTATAGAGCCAGATCCTGCACCCACTGAAGCCAATGACAAAGCTTGCGTTGGGCTCAATTCTCCCTGTGCCTGAGCTCTACTTGGGGCCCGGGCAGGGATATCAGGGAGACAGTTAGGGCCCCCTTATTGGGTGCCACCTGGCCCCAGCATTAGTTAGGGACTCCTGAGAGACCGGGTGCCACAGGCTGACAGATGCCACATCCCCAATGGCAGGGTTGGTGCAAGAGCAGCTTCCACAAACTTGATACCAGCACTGGGTTTCCATCCACCAGGAAAATTCTCATCAGGCTGATTATGGCCAGGATCTGGCCACTTTGTGTCCCCAGAGCAGCACCAAACAGCCAGAGCAGAAAGTGTGGCCCTTTGATTTCAAAGGAGCAGGAGCAGGGCTAGAGTCTCTCCTTCACACACAGTGTCCTTTGTGTTTTAACCCTTTGGGTGTGTTTGAACATGGAAGTAAATAGCTTAGTGACTGAAGAAGAACGGAGAACAACGTAAAGCCGGGTCTGAACCTTAACCTAGATACGGCCCCCATCCTCCCCAAACTTTGGGGGAGTTTCAGTCTGAATCTGAATCTCCCTCAATTCGCAGTTTGGGCCCATTTGTAACTGAGCAGCTTTGGAACAGTGAGTTCCCCGTGGAATTTGTACACAATTCCCTGGAGGTTCTGGCATAATCCCTCCTCCCCCTGCTCCCAACAGGCTGTGCTAAAAGGAACTCCTGAAAGTATCTGAGAAAAAGCCTGAGAGAAACTACAAAAGTCGTCAAAGAGAGAATGATCCTTTTTCCCTATCGGGTTTTGAATGTAATCCAGAAATAAGATTTCATCTGAGTAACTGGTGAGCAATGGAAATCCAAAATAAGTCCTATGATACTGCACTACCCCATTACGGCCGCCAGATGGTGTGCACCTTGTTCCACGACCAATTGTTTTCGCTATTGTTAGTGTTACTCTGATGTTATCAGCAGGTATTTACCATCCAGGACAAAGCACATGTTTCAAAAAACCTACACATTTCATAAATCAAAGCAGCTGTATTCCACCAAAAAAACAGCAACTGATCAATACAGAACTCCACAAGTATGCTTTCAAGGTCCTAAGTATTGCTACAACAAGATTCAGTAGTAGCAAGCTTGTCAATTTCTCCAAAGTCCCAATTTCAGGGGCTGCCTGTTAGAAATCCTGAAGACATTTCATTGTCAACCGGCATTAAAAGGTGGGCCAGATCTTACTTTGTGGGCTAGATCCTGAGGTCCTTACTCAGATTTTACTCAGCCCTTCGCTAGACACAATTCCATCTGACATCAATATTCTTGTGACATATTTGATTAACGTGTATAGCTTCTAATTTTGTACACCCCTGGAAAGTTGTTGACAGATGTAATGTATAAGTGTAAACACATCAATAAGGACAGAATAAGGATTTGGCCCTGTATACCTTGATGTTCGATAACCCCCACTCTCCCCCTCACCCCCCGCCACCAAACAAACAAACAAACAAAACCTCTGCCATATAATGAGCACAGAACTACGCTTCACTCATGGCAGATTCTAGGCCAGCTCTTCAACTGGCATAAATGCGCATAACTCCATTGACTATCTAGTCTAAAAGTATAAAAACCCATTTAGAGCCACATTTTGCCAGCCTAATGCTGAGTAGTACCATACTCTACTGACTTCAGTGAGACTAAGGGAGCAAGGTAATACTCATACTCAATATAAGTAATGCCAGCAAAATCTGGCCCAGAGCAACCAAACAACTACTTATCAATGGCCCCAGTACTGATACCTTTATATCAGTGGTTCTCAAACTTTTTTACTGGTGACCCCTTTCACACAGCAAGCCTCTGAGTGTGATCCCCCCTTATAAATTAAAAACACTTTTTTATAAATTTAACACAATTATAAATGCTGGAGGCAGAGCAGAGTTTGGGGTGGAGGTTGACAGCTCGCAACCCCCCCGTAATAACCTCACGACCCCCTGAGGGGTCCTGACCCCCCGTTTGAGAACCCCTGCTTTATATAAAGTTTAGCAATGGAGTTACTGGGCATTTGTTTTTTTCTTTTCAATACTGTGTCTGACAACTATTTCTTCTTGCTGGATTAGGACCCAATCCTACACACAATTAGGCCCCGATTCAGCAAAGCATTTAAGCATGTGCTTAAATCTATGCCTTTCACATTCACTTGAACTTTAGGCACATGCTTAAGTGCTTTCCTGAATTTTGCATCAAATGGTTTCAATAGCACTGTTCACAGCACCAAACATTACATCTGAAAGTAAGTGTTTCCAGGATCAGGCTCTGAAAGTGTGTTATATCTGCTGGGTGGTGTTGATGGCCCAAAGCATTACAAACAAGCTAAAGAACTTTTCCGGAAGTTTTACCACCAAGACTCTCTTTACAGGTTCAAATGGTGAACTGAGCTATTCAGACTTTGAATCTTAGAGCTATATCCTAAGCTGTGGCAACTCAAATATACACTGAGCTAATTCTGTGGGAATCTCAGGAAAACGTGTTCATGTCACCATCTGACTGCATCGAAAAAACCTCACAACAAGGATTATTAATACAAACACAGAATTGGCCACACAATAGCAGATTTAAAGGTAGCCATCCTGCAGCAAAAAAACTTCAGGACCAGACTTCAAAGAGAAACTGCTGAACTTCAGTTCATCTGCAAATTTGACACCATCAGCTCAGGATTAAACAAAGACTGTGAATGGCTAGCCAACTACAAAAGCAGTTTCTCCTCCCTTGGTGTTCAGACCTCAACTGCTAGAAGAGGGCCTCATCCTCCCTGATTGAACTAACCTCTTTATCTCTAGCCTGACTCACTCTTGCTTGCATATTTATACCTGCCTCTGGAAATTTCCACTACATGCATCCGACGAAGTGGGTATTCACCCACGAAAGCTCATGCTCCAATACGTCTGTTAGTCTATAAGGTGCCACAGGACTCTTTGCTGCTTTTACAGATCCAGACTAACACAGCTACCCCTCTGATTCAGAATTGACAGGCACGAATTCCATCTGCTATTCACTACCATTAGCATCAGACTTATCCCACT